TGTGTGTGTGTGTGTGTGTGTGTGTGTGTGTGTGTGTGTGTGTGTGTGTGTGTGTGTGTGTGTGTGTAGCCTTCGAGCAGAGTCTTGGAGGCAGGAGTGACTACTTTGCAAAAGACCCTGGTTCTGAAGAAACAGGCAGAGCTGGATGAGGTGGAGAAGCGACTTGCACTTAAACGGCTGGATTTTAAAGCCTGCATGGAGGCCCTTGCTCAGCGAAGGTCTGAACTTGAAATAAAACTACAAGAGGTGAGCTGAGACCACCTTAAATGAGAAGCAGTAGTAGTTATCCATCATCTGAAAGAGACTGTCCTAATGTGGCTGGCTTTTATCTTTTCTTTTCATGCAGACTAAAGAAAAAGTAGGGAAATTTGAGAAGTTCGTAGCTGAGAATGAAGCAAAGCGACGCAGAGCGTTAAAGAGCTGTGAAGCTTCACGGGTGCAAAACATCTTTAAAAAGCAGCAGATAAAAGATTTGACAGAACAGCTTAAAGGATTCAGAGACAGGTGAGACCTTGAAATGTTGTTTTTAATTTAAAGATTTCTTTCATGAAGTTGTTTTTTAAGCCCGGCTTTGCCATGGTTTAATTTGCAGGAGGCAAGTTTTAAAGGAGAGAGTGGCAAAATACAAAATCTATGAGGATTATTTGATAAAAACACGAGATTATCTCCCCAGCAGTAAGTTCAAATGCTCATTATTGAGCCTTCAAATGAACTTGCTTTGTTTAGCCTGTTGAGTAAAGCACACAGTCCGTTTCAGATTACCTCGATGACGGGTCTGAATCTCTAGTCATGCCCATCATTCGGCGTCATGAGACCTTATCCATCACACACCAGGAGCTGCTGCAACGTTTGCAACGTATGGAGGCGGAGGTGGAGGAAGGCCAGCGGCAGCTGCAGAATATGAAGGAGGAACACAGCGTAAAGAAACTGGTCAGATATACAAATACGGATGTTAGATGTATCATGTCTTCATAGCAGTACTGTAGTTTATAGCGGTTGATGTGTTTTTGTATGTATTGCAGATGGCCAATAAAGAGCTGTCTGAACTGCAGAGTGAGTTAGAGACCCTCAAAGAGAAGAACAAGCAGGCAGAGGTTAACTTGCAGATGGAGCAAGACTTATCCAGAGAGAAGGTATGCCTTCCAGATTAGCTGGATGTGACCCTGCTCATTAATCTTGGGAACTTTGGATCGAAATAATGTCATGTGTGCCCTTCATGTTTCAGGTTACAGAAGTGGGAAGACTGCTTATGGCCATCAGCAACCTTGCAGAACAGTGTTACCTACCAAAATACGGACCGCTGGAAAAGATGAACGCGCTGACAATGATGGACATGGTGAAGGTATTTACGGGCAGGATGAGATGATTGATAGGGTCCATTTTTAGTTTACCCAAATCTTGACTGACCATTTCTTTCAGGAGTACATTCTGGACAAGGTAGACACGGAGAGGAGAGCGAGGAGGATGATGGAGTTGGGGAGTTTGATGACGAGCACAACCGCCGCGGCAAACAAAAGAGAGAGGGGGTCAATGAGAAGCTTTGGAAGTAAAACACAAATCAAAAGTTCAAGTAAAGTCAGCAGAAGGAGTGAGACATTTGGTTGATGTTGTAGTTTGAGTATTCATCACAGTGTTGTCTCTTATGGTTTGTTGAGAGTGGAGGTTCGTTCTTGAGATGGGAAGAAGCATTTGCTACCACTTCGTAGCAAATGAAGTGTTACCAAAACCTTGAGAAAAAAAAAAGCTTGTAGGAGAACATAATGTTTTTTTTTTCATTATTTGCCTTTATAACATTTGTTCAGTGTTTCAAAAATCTGTGCACCAACCTTTGCACTTAAGACGTCATAGACAAGGAAATGAAAACGTAGCTGTTTGAAATGAGATCCTCATGTTTATCCGAACTTGTAAATTTGGATTTGGGCACATTGTATTGTGAATGTTGCTTTTATTTAAAAAAATAAATAAAGTGGTCATAATCAAATTATGTAAATGCTCACTCAATCAACAGCAATCCACCACCTTTGCAACATGCAAAACACCAAAAACAAGCAGCCAATAAAATCTCCTTTGACCCTATTGCCTCACATTTCCCACGTTTCAGAGTTAAAACCTGTGATGCCACAATAATGTAAAAAGCTATAGTTTCTTGTTACTTTGGTGATTCGGATTGCTTACCCAAACCTATGACTGGGTGCCCCGAAAGCTTTATTGTAAGCACCCCACCAGCACGATGCATGAAAAATATTATATGAACAATAAAAAACAATTTTAAGTACATTTTTAATACAAATATGACCCTATTTAGCAGATAAAAGCCTGATTCAGTACTTTCATGAGAAACTGAAGACATGGCTCGCAAGCTATAAAAACCCCGATCTGGCCCTTTAACACAAGCACGTGGTTTCCGCAAACATCCGGTTTTTAGAAAGTAGGAACGAAAAGGCAACAATGTTTTGACACGCGTATTTCTTAACTGTCGTTACGGGTTTTTTGTATTGTTTCCAGGTTGTTGAAATATGAAGGTACGTCACACAGTCAGGTAACTCTTGAAACTGCGGGGTTTTTTTTCCAGGTAGTAAAACTGCTTGTTCGTCCACAGATGGAGGATGGCAGCTTGGTTTCATGTAGAGAGGACATTTCTTCGCTGTTCCCTGCGCAAATGCTGAGTGCCAAACAGCAAGTAGGCTATTTCGAAAAAGGGCTGAGGTTGATGTAGTGCAGGTGGTCACGGTCACCCCTCATAACGACTGTAGAATAACCGGACCTGTTGTCCTTTCTCAGGATCTGAGCAGCCAGTTTTCCGCCGTAAGAAAAGTTTGCGGCGACGGCAACTGCTTCTACAGAGCTTTCTGCTTCGCATACTTGGAGTCAGTCCTACACAGTGCCAGGGATTTGCAGAGGTCAGATTTAATTACTGCTGTCACTAATATCACCTGATGATTGAACAGCGTTGATTTGATAAGGGTGGTGCTTGTCTCGCCCCTCTCAATGTTAGGTTCAAGGACAAGATAATCCAGGGCAGCGCAATTTTGGTCTCTGCAGGATTTGAGGAGGATTTCTTCAGGCACCACCTGGACACGGTAAATGCACTCATATTTTTGTTTTTCTTCCAACAAGTTATTAGCATCTCCTCAGACCTCATTAGTAAAATAATGGGGGGGAAATGGCACTTTGTAGCCTGTGAGCTTTGACTTGCCATTTGATGTGTATGTAGTACATGCATCGAACAAATGATAACTCTGTGTGTGTGTGTGTGTGTGTAAAAAATATCCTAGTCATTAGACCAGGGGTCCCCAATCCCAGTCCACGAGGGCCGGTGTCCCTGCAGGTTTTAGATGCGTCCTTGATCCATCACAGCTGATTTAAATGGATAAATTACCTTCTCAACATGTCCTGAAGTTCTCCAGAGGCCTAGTAATGAACTAATCATGTGATTTAGGTGTGTTGACCCAGGGTGAGATCTAAAACCTGCAGGACACCGGCCCTCGGGGACTGGGATTGGGGACCCCTGCATTAGACAGATGTCTGCTTCTCAACTACTTGTGTACTGATTGGACCATTTGCTTTGCGTCTACAATTTCAACTGCAACACTGTACAAAGATTTTGAATCACCCCTTATTTCCTTACATTTTCCTGGGAACACAGATGCAGCATTTTACTGAAATGTGCAAAGTAATTGTAATGTAGACTAAGGTTAAAAAAAAAAAAGAAGTGTGCAGTGAGCTTTAAAAGTCAATATTTGGTATGACTACATTTTATTTAACACAGCCTGAACACTCTCAGGCAGCTCTCTTGCCATTTCTTAAAAGTCTTCATGGATAGTTCCTCAGGCTTTTCGGGGGACATCCAAAGCCCCCAGGTAGACCTTCCATGGTTTAGATGGCTATAAAACATTGTTTAATTAATCACACTATAAGACCTGTTGCCACTATTTTATTCTGCTGGAACCAAAATGGTGGCAGCAGGCTTAGGAAGTCTGAGTATGTATATCAACCTAACTTAGAATCTGGCCATCTGGATGTATGTCTCTCTGTATTACACACCAGTTTGTTCTGATTTTAAAAACGCAGTATTACTCCTGCGCTTCACCAGTTTGGCATCCTGCTAGACCTGTGTAGTTATTTTAAAAAGGTGCAGAAAATGACTCTTGAATGAAATCTTACAGGCACCATATTTTCTGTAAAAAAAGCAAAGTCTAATTGTTCCTCTTTCTGTTGAAGGTTCTTCAGGTTGTTGAGCAAAGCCAAGCAGATGTAATTGCACTATTCAGGCTCTTCAATGAGCATACTACCTCCGACAGTGTTGTGCAGTATCTCAGGCTGCTCACTTCAGCACACCTGCAAAACAATGCAGACTTCTTCCGCAACTTTGTGGAAGCACCTGATCTACAGGTCTACTGTCATGAAGTTGGTATCGGCGTTGCTGCCATATACTGCATAAAGAACCTCTGAATTATTTAAAGTGGATAATTTGAAGGATTTTGATTAAAATCTCTTCTCTTCGTTAAGGAAGTGGAGGCTATGGCGATGGAGTGTGATCATGTGGACATCTCGGCTCTGTCTCAGGCTCTGGACATCTCCATCCACATCGTCTCTATGGAAGGCGACGGACAACAGCTGGCTCACCACATCATTCCAGAAAATGGGGACCCATCCCTGCATCTCCTCTACCACACATCTCATTACGATATTCTCTACCCTCGGGCACAACTATGACCAACGAAACTCTGCTCGAATCAGGAATATTGACTCCGGTTGAATAAATTCCAACTGGGCTTGAAGACACTTACAAAATTAGATTTTTATAAAATCTTGCAGTTTACAGGAATCCATCATCTGGGGATGAGCATCTGTTGCACAATGTGCACTAAACATTTAGAGACTTTAAAATGCTTTAACTTTTTTTTTTTACCCTTTTTATAAATTGTGTCATTTGAAGTTTTTTAATAAACCTCTCAATAAACAAGTCATTTTGCCTTCTGCTTCTGTTTTTTCTGCCGTGGATGGATACTAGTCTCTGGTTTCTTCTGTGTTGAAACCCTGGTTAGGGCACTCTCCATCCCAGCAAGGGGCATTTGGGGCAGGGGGAGCTTTCCCATTTGAGTAGGATACTTGGTCTTCATTACATTCTTGAAAATGGGCAGTGAAATCAAACGCTTCAACTCCTTTTTCATCCCCTTCACCATCCTCTGCTGCTCTCTGTCTGCATCCTCATCATTTGCATTGCCTGTGGAAATGTGTGGACTTAATTTTCTGCATTGAAACTTTATTTTGAAATGCAAACTTGTTTTAAAAAGTGCTGGTTTTACCAAGTAATAAGTCATCATCCAGATCCACCTCCAGGGCTTCTGCTGCTTGCTTGAGCCAGGAATTGTGGTGTTTCTCCTTGCTGTTGTAGTACTCTACCTTTTCAATTCTCCTGGCCAAGTTTACTCGCTCCTGTGGAGGAACCCAAGTTATATCAGTTAAACCCTTTAACATCAAAAATGGACAGGACCTTATGCTGATGGATCTCACCATGATTGCATCCATGCATCTGGTCTCTATGGGAAATGTGGGAAGCTCTTCGTCCTTTCCAAGACTCTTGCATATCTTTTTGAAGTTCATCATGTCATCTGGGCTTACTAGCAGCATACAGAGGCCCTCTTTAGTCGCTCTTGCTGTTCTCCCACTCCGATGCACGTACGTCTCAGATGTTCTAGGAACCTGGCATGAACAAATCACTTCTTGAGGAACAATGCTCATTACATTGCTGTAGTTATAAGCCGTTGCCCAACATTCATCTTTTAAGCTGGTTTTTATTGTAAAGTAAAGACCCTCCTATGAGCAAGCATTTGGCGACAAAACTCCCTTTTAACAGGAAGAAACCTCCAGCAGAAAAAGACTCTGATGTGCAACCATCTGCTGAAACTGGTTGGGGGTGAGGGGAGGCAAAAGACACATTGATGAAGAGAGCTAGAGTTTAATAACAAATGATAAATGCACAGTCATGTATAAACACTGAGTGCATCACGGGAAACCTGCAGGGACTGTGTTTTATGGCTGTGGTGGTTAGTGTTGTGGCTAATTGATAACCTCTTATTCATGCTGGAGAATCCTTGGGCAACTGTTTAAGGGGTTACCTGGTAGTGAATAACATGCTGGACATTGGGGATATCCAGGCCTCTTGCTGCCACATCAGTAGTCAGGAGAACACAACTGTGAAGAGAAACAAAAGAAATGGCAATGTCAAAGCTAGGTGCCTTTAAAAAAAAGAAATCACTAATGTTTTACAGTAAATACAGCTCAAGACTGCTGCTGATTACAGGAACTACAAAAACCATCAGGACTTGAATGTGTCAAATGTTTAAAATGTGAATACTTTCACAAATTTAAAAAATGGTTTTAAAGTAGACAAAGACAAAACTATTTCAGGCATTTTTGTGCATACTAGACGAATTCCTTACTCCCACAGTTAAAGTTTAGATGTCACCAGTGGCACACAGTTACTGGATAAATGCTGAAGACAACTTGATGTTGCTACTGCAAATGTGAGCACAACTCACTTCTCCCTCTCAGCGAACCTCTCCAGGTTTTTCAGCCGTTGTTTCTGGTGCATGTTGGCATGTAGAGGCAGCGGAGTACAGTCTAGTATAACCAGCAGAGAATTCAGCCTCTTTATACAGTCAATACTGTTGGCAAACACCATGGTGCGCCCAGGATACTGGAGCAGGAAGTAATAGAGGTAGAAGTCCTTCTCATCCTTCTGACAGTGGATTTGAGTCTCAATCAGTGTCTCCACAGTTGCCTCCTTCCTGGTGAGGTCAATGACTTTGGGCTTGGACTTAATCCCCACTTTCTCCATAAGAATTTCCAGCTTGTTCCTCTTTTCCAGATTCTTCTTCTTCTTTTGAAGGAGGCGAGTGGGAAGGCTGTGAACCATCGTCAAAGTGGCAGAGAACACAAAAGTTTGCCTAGTGGGATTG